TATAAATCAGAAAAAGCAAGGGTCCAAAGACCGATCCCTGGGGAGTAACACTTCTATCTCTAATCTGTGAAATCCCTTTATATACCTACCCTCTGTTTCTGATCTTTTAGCCAACTTGTAAGTCATGCTGCTACCAATTTGAAATATTCCTAATTTGCTAACAAACCTGCCATGTGCCACCATGTCAAATCCTTTCTGAAAGTCCAAATATATAACATCCACAATATTTCCCACTCTCTGTGTCGCCTCATCGAAGAATTCAATTAAATTCGTCAGGGATGATCTGCCCTTGACAAAGCCATGTTGACTGTATAGTCTTAACTTATTTTTCTCTGAGTGTATATTTACCTTATCCTGCATTATGCCCTTCATCCGTTTTCCCACTATTGATGTCAAGCGGTCAGGTCTGTAGTTTCCAGGGTTATTCTTTGCCCTTTCTTAAATAACAGCGTCACATTTCCAATCCGCCAGTCCCCTGAGATTAATCTTGTGTTCAGACAGGACTGGAAAGTTTCTGTCAGTGGTTCTGAAATTTGCTCCATTACCTCTCTTATGGGACTTAAGATATTGGTTGCAAACTGGACTGTCTGCCTATCCCTTCAAGTACTGCAGGCCATGCATCCCATCTGGTGGGATGCTGGTGATTTCTATGCCTGGAATGCTGCCAGCCTTTTTAGCACCTCTTCTTTATCTATCATTATACTGTTCAGTTGCTCAACAATCACGTTTTCAAGGGGGAATTGTCACCATCTTCTAATTTGGTAAAGATAGAAGCAAAGTATTCATTTAGTATCTCTCCCATATCCTTTGCTACAGTGAGCAGCTTATCCTGCTTGTTCCTTAAGGACCCCACTTTGGCCTTCACTAATCTTTTACTGTTAATATGTTTGAAGAATATTTTACTATTTGTAGCCTGCCATCCTTTCTTCATACTTCCTCTTAGTCTTCCTTATTCCAGCCTTAGCCTCTTTCCTGCATTTGCGATACTCTTCCTGGTTTCCAATGCTATTATTATTTTGGTATGCATCATATGCCTCTTCTTTCTTCCTTATTTTCTCCACAATATCCCTAGCCATCGGTGGTACTCTAGCTTTGGATATACTGCATTTATTTCTTATGGTCTGTACCTAGCTTGCATCCTATTCATCCCTTTCTTGAAAGTCTCCCATTTCTCATCCACTGTTGTATTTCCAATCAACCTGTTCCAGTTTAACTTTTAGACCCCTAAAATTTGCTCTTTTCCGGTCCAGTATCTTAATCCTTGACTGATTTTTATCCCTTTCTGATTTAATATTGAACCTTATTATGTTATGATCGCTATTTCCCAAATGCTTCCCCACTCTGATGTTTTGCACTTGTACAGACTCATTTTCTAGGCCCAGATCTAGCTTCCTTCCTGGGAAGGCTGGAAATGTAATGTTCCAGAATGTTCTCCTGCACACATTACAGAAACCTCTCCCCTTCCGTTCCCCACACTCTAACATTCTCTGAGTCTAGATCATCATAGGTCATAGAATCCCTACAGTGTGGAAACAGGCCCTTCAGCCCAACAAGTCCACACTGACCCGCAGAGCATCCCATCCAGACCCATCCCCATATAACCCACCGAATCTACACATCCCTGAACATTACGGGCAATTTAGCATGGCCAATCCACCCTATCCTGCACATCTTCGGACTATGGGAGGAAACTGGAGCACCCGGAGGAAACCCATGCAGACACAGGGAGAACGTGCAAACTCCACACAGACAGTCACTCGAGGCTGGAATCAAACCTGGGTCCATGGCGCTGTGAAGCAGCAGTGCTAACCACTGAACCACCGTGCTGCCCTACTTTAGGGAAATTGAATCATCAACTATCATAACCCTACTTGACTTGTAGATTTTCATAATCTGCCTGCAAAAGCTCTCTTTTATTTCCTCCTACTATTTGGAGGTCTATAATAAATACCCAACAAGGTCACTGCTCCCTCCTGTTTCTCACCTCCAACTACATAGATTCTAATTCAGGGACTGCATTTCCTTCAAGGGCTATGATACTATCTTCAACCAAGATTGCTACACCTCCTTTTTACCCATCCTGATTCTGCTTAAAACTTTATAACCCAGGACGTCAAGTATCCAGTCCTGTTCTGGCTTAAGCCATGTTTCTGTCAATCCGACTATGTCATATCCCCTTAGAGGAATATCTGCTTCCAGTTCCTCAGTTTTGTTCGCTATACTCCATGCATTAACAAACAATCAATTTAACCTTGCCCTTATCACTTTCTTGCCGATTTCTTTGTTTGCTGTCAATACTTATGTCTTTCCCCATTTACTTTCCCCGTTCTCCATCTTCTCACCTTTTTGCCCTCACTGGTACTTCCAAAGTTAGGCCCATTCGTCAATCCACACCACTGCTTTACAAGTTTAAATCCATCCCCATGAGATTGGTTCCATTTCTGCTCAGGTGAATCCCATCTCTTCTGAACAGCTTTCTCCTTTCCCAAAAGTGATCCCAACATCCCAAAAATCTAAACCCTTCCTTTCTACACCACCCCTAAAGCCACACAGTTACGTCCCTGAACTGCCTTTGCATAAATGGTTGAGGCTCATGACATAGGTAGTATTTCCAAGATTACTACCCTGGAGCTCCTTGGTTTCAACCTGCTCCCTGACTCCTGCAAGACCTCCAAGCCATCTGTCCCTGTGTCATTGGTAGCTCCATGACCCACAACCACTGGTAATTCACCCTCCCTTATGAGAAATTTATCCAACCATTCTGTTATAGAGTCATGGAATCATAGAGTCATACAGCACAGAAACAGACCCTTCGGTCCAACCAGTCCATGCCGAACATAATCCCAAACTAAACTAGTCTCACCTGCCTGCTCCTGGCTCATATCCCTCCAAATCTTTCCTCTTCGTGTACTTAAACGAATGTCTTTTAAACATTGTAATTGTACTCACATCCACCTACTTCATCAAGAAGTTAATTCCACATGTGAACCACCCTCTGTGTAAAAAAATTTGCCTATGTCTTTTTTAAATCTCTCTCCCCTCACCTTAAAAATGTGCCCCGTAGTTGTCCCAAACCCTTGCACCAGGGAGACAACAGACCATATGGGACTCATGACCTTGGCTGCAAACTGGACTGTCTGTCTATCCCTTGAACTACTGGAGGGCATACATTTAAGGTAAGAGGACGTAAGTTCAAAGGACATGTGAGGGGCAAGTTTTATTACACAGAGAGTAGTAAGTGCCTGGAACACGCTGCCAGGGGTAGTGGTGGATGCAGATATGATAGGGACGTTTAAGGGGCTTTTAAATAAGCATGTGAATAAGCAAGGAATGCAGGGATATGGACCACAGGCAGGCAGAAGGGATTACTTTAACTTGGCATCATGTACAGCACAACACCGTGGGCCAAATGGTCTGTTCCTGTGCTGCTCTATGTACTGAGCCATCCACTGCTACCACCTTTCTAATCAGCCTACCACATCTCTTGCTTTTCCCAGAGGGTAACCATGGTACTGTGTTTTTCCTCTTTGTCATCCACCCCCAACTCAGTCATGTTGCTCACTAAATAGGCATCTAAAATTTCATACCTGCTAGACAGGTCCAAGGGATCCTGGGTTTCCTTCACCTGCTGTCTCTTTTCCTTTCAGCAAATGGTCACCCATTGTCCTGCCATCTCTGCACTCCTCCTTTCGTGCCAATCACAATGTGGAGTAACCACTCTGTGGTAGGAGAAACCTCTTTCCTTCTTGTATGGTGTGCAGTGCGGAGAGTCACTGCTCTAAATCAGTCACATGGTGTTCAAGGACTGCTACCCTCTTGACTGTCTTGGGTGTCATGTGGATCCAAGACCTCCCACATTTTACATGCCACACACTTCACAAGATTTCCCAGAGTCCCTGCCATCATTAATGGATGACGCACACTGCTGAGGCTCTGCACAAACAAATTTTGTAACTGCCCCGCTGTCTCTTTTGGTTTTGGTTCACGAAGGAGGGAGGGAGGGAAACACTACAGTAATGTAAAGATTTTGGGTGTAGCACATTGGCTGAGTGGTTACACTGTCTCACGGTGCCAGGGATCCAGGTTCAATTCCACCCTTGGGCTACTGTCTGTGTGGAGTTTGCACATTCTCCCCGTGTCTGCGTGGGTTTCCTCCGGGTGCTCCGGTTTCCTCCCATTGTCCAAAGATGTGCAGGTCAAGTGAATTAGCTATGCTAAACTGCCCATAGTGTCCAGGGATGTGCAGGTTAGGTGGGTTAGCCATGAGAAATCCAGGGATAGGGTAGGAGGGTGGGTCTGGTTGTGATGCTGTTCGGAGGGTCAGCGTGGACTCGATGGGCCAAATGGCCTGCTTCCACACTGTAGGGATTCTATGATTCACCAGGTCCTCTGTAATCCCTTTCTCACTTGTGACAAGTGAACCAACTTTGCCCAGAATCCTCCTCAATCGCTTCTCACTACTGCCTGTCTCCAAACACAGCCGGACCCCCATTTCACTTACCCACTTCCTTTCACACAGCAGTCATCAAGTTTTTTTCCACCATTCAGCCTGCCATCTGCTTCCTCGGCCTACTTTCAAAATTCAGTTTCAAAGTATTCAGTTTCCCTTTCTTGACAACATTTATTTCCATTATTATAAGGCCGCTCCATTCCCTGGAACCTCTCAAATTCAGCATCATCCCCCTATCATCAGTGATAAAAAAGGCACCTTTTTTTGGTCTACACCAAAATATGTTTAACTTTCACTTCCTCTGCATATCCTGGCCAAGCTGTTGGTCCATGTTCAAAAACATACTACTGTCCAGTTTTAGTCTTCTAGTTCCATTGTACTTGATGTCACCAACAGTAACTACCATTTACCATCTTTGCAACTTTAACTATGTCCTGTCTCTGGAACTGTTCGCTATTGTTTCTTCCTTTGCCTTCCGAATCTGTCTAGCACCTATTCCTGCGATTGTGGATTTGCCAAATGTTGCCTTCCAACTTTTGTTCAAAAACAGATGGAAGAGTTAAAGACAAAACTTCGTGTGGTGGAGGATACTCGGGATGGAATTCGTAAGGACCTGATTGAATCCCACAGGAAAGTCCGAGAGAATGAGGAAGCTCAGGAAGTGCAACGGAAAGAGAACCTGGAGCTCAAACGTGTTCTGAATGATGAAATCCGTGAAAAAGAAGCCATCCAGAATTCCAATGAGGAACTCAGGAATACCATCAAAAAGATTGAGAGTGAAAGAATCAGGTATTATGCAGTCAGGGGAGGCAATGGCCTAGTGGTATTATCGCTGGACTGTTAATCCAGAGACCTAGATAATGTTCTGGGGACCTGGGATCAAATCCCGCCATGGCAGATGGTGGAATTTGAATTCAATAAATATCTGGAATTAAGGGTCTAAAGATGACCATGAATCCATTGTTGATTGTTGGAAAAAACCAGTCTGGTTCACTACTGTCCTTTAGGGAAGGAAACTGGCCTACATGTGACTCCAGAGCCACAGCAATGTGGTTGACTCTGAAATGCCCTCTGGGCAATTAGGGATGGGCAATAAATGCTGCTGTGTCAGTGATGCCCTCATCCTGTGAATGAATAAAAAAATGGTGTGACCACTTGGCACACAATACTCTGCTTGTAAACACCAGAAATCCCAAGTTACTGCAAAATGTTTACAATCCCCACATTCAAAGCAGCTACAACTGCATTTTAAATACATAGCAAAAATGTGCCAAAAACTTTCCAAACTGCACCCTAAGCAATCAAGGTTAAAATTAACTCTGGCCCAGATGTACACTGTTAATATTGTGCTCTAAACATGCAGTCAAAATTTAATTCTTAAGCATCAAATCTTTCCCAAAAGTATACCTTGAATTCCTGCCAATACTGCAGGTTACCATCCTCTCCTCTCTGATGGTTTCTGATTCGTGGGAACTGACTATGTTTCTATGCCATCAGCTTAAAGAGGGCAAATGAGGAGAAGGCGCAGAAGATCAACATCCTGGAAGAAGCCAAAACTGCAGTTCAGAATGAGGCAGGAGAGCTGCGCTCCAATCTACGGGAAGTTGAAAGATCAAGACTGGAGGCCCGGAGAGAATTGCAGGAACTTCGACGACAGGTGAGGAAAGGAGACTCCGAGAAAGTGATGAATGCTAATCTCATTTCTTAGTGATCAATGGGCGAAAAAAATAAAATCCCTGCTACATCTAATGCCAGATACAATAATTAACAGTCAGGAGATGTGGCTTTGCTTTCTTGACTTAAGGGAATTAAATTTATTAAACTATCTTCAGTTTTAGGTAGGAGCCAATTACTGCATTTGCTGGAATCTGTGCTGAAAACAAGAACAAAATGCTGGAAATCACAGTGGGTCAGGCAGTATGCATGGGGAGAGAGCAAGTTAATGTTTCAAGTGTGAACTCGAAACGTTAGCTTACTCTCTGTCCATGGATGCTGCCTGACCCGCTGTGGTTTCCAGCATTTTTTGTTTTAGGTTTAGTTTTAGGTGGTTTATCAAAGGGCAATGTGCAATCATCAAGTATTCCTTTTGCTTTCTACTTTTCACCACTTGCTTTAAAAATAAGTATCTGGAACTGTGATTGGAGCTTACGGGGAGATGTCCAGAGTGAGAGATCCATATTCTCCACAGGACCGTGGTCTGAATTTACCTCCAACAGGGTGCTTCTATCTGATGCAGTCATGCTTTACATTATGTCCTGCAACATAAGAAAATGCCATGGAATATTGAGGTATTGAAGAATCCAACAAACATTTATTACAAGTAACTATTATGTACAAACATTACATTCCTGAGGCACATAGGTGTCTGGGCTAATATTAAGCTACAAAGTTAGCTGAGATAAGATGGAGAGGACATCTTTCTTCCTTCAGCCAACATGAGCTGATAACATGAGTATTTCTTAATGATACACTATCATTCTGACCATGAGACATACACAACATAACCCTGTTTCCAAAGGTTAACAAACTGTCTCAAACAGATATATAGGCACATGTTATCAATTTGATCATTATACAGCAAGTAAAACAGAGTTTACAATGTACAAACTTTATATGTAATGCTTTGGAGCTTGACATCTTGTCCTAATCTGGTGATTGTATAGCCAGCTGGAGAGATACGCTTTGTTTAGTACTGCACTTGTTTGACAAATCAGTTATCTTGCTGCCTAATGCTTTCCTGGGGAGCGTTGCTGAACAAAGAAACCTTGGAGTACAGGTTTACAGTTTCTTGAAAATGGAGTCCCAGGTAGACAGGATAGTAAGGAAGCCATTTGGTATGCTTATCTTTATTGGTCAGTGCATTAAGTATAGGAGTTGGGAAGTCATGTTGCGCCTGAACAGGACATTGGTTAGGCCACTTTTGGAATACTGCATGCACTTCTGGTCTCCCTCCTATAGGAAGGATGTTGTGAAACCTGAAATGGCTCAGAAAAGATTCATAAAGATATCGCCAGGATTGGAGGGTTTGAGCTATAGGGAAAGACCGAATAGGCTGGGACTATTTTCCCTGGAGCATCGGAAGCTAACCTTATAGAAGTTTATAAAATTATGAAGGGCATAGATAGGCTGAATAACTAAGGTCTTTTCCCATGGGCGGGGGATTCAAAAACTAGAGAGCATAGGTTTAGGGTGAGAGGGAAAGATTTAAAAGGGACCTAAGGGGCAACTTCTTCACACAGAGAGTGGTGTGTGTATGGAATGAGCTGCCAGAGGAAGTGGTGGAAGCATCTGGATGGGTACATGAATAGGAAGGATTTAGAAGGATATGGGCCAAATGCTGCCAAATGCTGACTTGATTAATTTAGGATGTCTGGTTGGCATGGACGAGTTGGACCGAAGGATCTGTTTCCATGCTGTACAGCTGTATGATTCTGAGCTCTATGATAGTCACACTCATTTTGTCGATAATTCATTGAACAACTGGAAGTTTAGAGAACTCATCCATCTGAATAAGTTTTTTTAACTTCACTCGTGGCATGTGGGTGGTGCTGGCTAGGTCAACATTTACTGTCTGCCCCTGGTTGCCCTTGAGAAGGCGGTGGTGAGCTATCTTCTTGAACTGCTGCAATCTAGTTGCTGTAGTTTGACCCACAACGCCTTTGGGGAGGGAATTCCAGGATTTTGACCCAGTGACAATGAAGGAATGGTCACATATTTCCAAATCAGGATGGTGAGTGGCTTGGAGGGGAATTTGCAGGTAGTGGTGTTCCTATATATTTCTACCTTTGTTCTCCTGGATGGAAGTGGTCACAGATTTGGAAGGTGCTGCCTGAGAATCTTTGGTAAATTTCTGCTGTGCATCCTGTAGATAATACACATTGCTGCTACTAAATATCAGCGGTGAAAGAAGTGGATATTTGCGGATATGGTGCCGGTCAAGATTCGACTGTTGTTGGGGCTGCACTAATCCAGGCAAGTGGGGAGTATTCCATCACACTCCTGACTTGTGCCTTGTCAATGGTAGACAGACTGGGGAGTCAGGTTGTGAGTATTCTTTCCCTTGCACTGTGCGTAGATCTGCAGCTACTTTGGTTCAAGTGGTGCATGCAAAATTGTATAGAAATAGAGTCTCCCTCTACTGCTGGGGTTGATACATTTGGCATGTCTCACATGCATCTTAAGTCATTGATTATCTAATTTATCTCTGGCCTGTTCATAGATTCATGTGATAGTTATATTGTGCATTCAATGCACGTGTGTCTCTGTAATATGCACATGATATCTTGACATAATGCTTTTGGTTTGGGGCTTGTTTGCCCTTGAAGATTACTCGTTGTGATATACCAAGTTCATCAATGTATGTCCAAAATGGCCGTATCTTCTCCTGTATTTCAATACTTTCAGGCCATCCCTGCATAACGATCTTCTGTAACCCTTGTAGTTGCTCATCTTCAGCAGTTGCCGATTACAAAGATTTACACTGGCTCTGGCCAAAGTGTCATAAATCAACCTTGAGAACATCTTCAACCTCGTTGACTGGAGCATCAATCAGCAGATCAAGAGGAATATCATGTTCTTTGGGTGGAAAGCATAATCTGTTTAGCACGTCAGATCTTATCATCTTCTTAGTTGTTTTGTGTATCGCTTCAAAGTGATATCCTTGGAGATTGTTGTGTCTGAAATTAGTCTCTCATGAATTGTGACTATACTGAGGTCTGTGTGTACTGGTTGTCCCGCCACTGCTCAATCATTGACGCCTACGAAGTATAAGATTTTGGGAAGCCAAGATGAGTTTGTGTGTTGGCACTGCAGTATGATTCTGCCAATGCATGGATTGGAATCCAGTTGCATGCTGTGAGATGGTCTCTCTTCGTCTGTACCATGGAGCATCACTTGCTGATGTACATGCCTCTCAGAATATGTCGTAGTAATATTTTGACACTTCCCATATTAATCTTGGCTTTTAGAGTGTGTTGTCCTGTATTTTCATTGTATACAATACTAAAAGTTGAACAAGTTTCTGTTTGACTTATACTGTCTGCATACTGTCTGTAAGGTTGTCAATTTGGAAAGCTAGGTCACCTTCTAAAATTTGCCTGTCACGTAATTGACTCTGAATCTCATTCATGTGTTTATATTTGCAATCTTCTTAACACTTCCCTTGCTGTCAGTTTTGTGGGGCTACCGTCTTGTTGCTCACCGATATTTTGTTGAGCAGTCTGACTTGGCCTTTCAAACAAGATTTCCCACATATGCATCTCCACGCCCCTCGCCAAGCTGTTCCAGTACAGTTACAACACTGGTATCTACCTGAAAATGTGGAAAATTGCCCAAGTATGTCCTGTACACAAAAAGCAGGACAAATCCATCTAAGCCAATTACCGTCCCATCAATCTACTGTCTATCATCAGTGATGGAAAGTGTTATCGACAGTGCTATCAAGCAGCACCTGCTCAGCAATAACCTGCTCAGTGACGCCCAGTTTGGGTTCTACCAGTGCAACTCAGCTCCTGACCTCATTACAGCCTTGGTTCAAGCATGGACAAAAGAGCTGAATTCCAGAGGTGAGGTGAGAGTGACAGCCTTTGGTATCAATGCTGCATAAGACCAAGTGTCACGTCAGGAGTCCTGGTAAAATTGGAATCAATGGATATTGAGGGCAAACTGCAGTGGGTGGAGTCATACCTGACACATAGGAAGATAGTTGTGGTTGTTGGAGATCTGTCATCTCAGCTCTAGGACATCTCTGCGGGAGTTCCTCAGGGTAGAGTCGTGGGCCCAACCATCTTCAGCTGCTTCATCAATGAGCTTCCCTCCATCATAATGTCAAAAATAGGGATGTTCGCCAATGATTGCACAATGTTCAGCACCATTCGTGACTCTTCAGATACTAAAGCAGTCCGTGTTCAAATGCAAAAAGATCTGGACAATATCCAGGTTTGGACTGACAAGTGGCAAGTGACATTCATGCCACACAAATGCCAGGCAATGACCGTCGCCAATAAGAGACAATATAACCACCACGTCTTGACATTGATGGTGTTACCATCATTGAATCCTCCACTATCAACATCATGGGGGTTATCATTAACCAGAAACTCAACTGGTCTTGCCACATAAACACAATGTCTGCAAGACGAGGTCAGAGGTAAGAAATAATGCAACAAGTAACTCACCTCCTGACTCCTCAAAGCCTGTCCATCATTTACAAGGCACAAATCAGGAATGTGATGGAATACTCCCCACTTGCCTGGATGAATGCACCTTCAAGAATGTTGAGGAATCTTGACACCATTCAGGACAAAGCAGCCCGCTTGATTGGCACTACATCCACAAGCATCCACTCTCTCCACCACCGATGCTCAGTAGCAGTAATGTGTACTATCTTCAAGATGTACTGCAGAAATTCACCAACAAACCTTAGATAGCACCATCCAAACTCAAGACCACTTCCATCCAGAAGGACAAGGGCAGCAGAACCTATGGGAACACCACCACTTTCAATTTCCCCTCCAAACCACTCATCCTCTCGACATGGAAATATATCATCATTCCTTCACTGTCGCTGGGTTAAAATTCTGGAATTCCCTCCCTGAGGGCACTGTGAGTCAACCCACAGCAGGTGGACTGTAGCTGTTCAAGAAGGCAGCTCACCACCACCTTCTCAAGGGCATCTAGGGA